ACTTCCGTGCGTGGAGGTTCCTCGAAACGAGCGTGCAATTCGGGGTGCTCAGCCCGTAGGGTCTAGAGGATAACTGTTCGGGAAGTCTGGGAACCAGTCCTCGAGTGCTTCAATGTCCATGTCCATCGGCATGGACTCCTGTAATGCCGCCGTGCTGCACGTTGGCTCCGCACATGCCGCCTCGATCTTGTCCATCAAGTCGGTACAGTTTGCTAGACAGTTGTCCGCGAGGTCCCAGGCGTAGTTGCGGCGGTGGGAGTCGAGTGCCTCGATCATGCGCCGCGCCAGTTGTAACGAAGTCTTCCGTACGGGTCCCCTAGAAGAGAGGGCACTTCTCAGAAGAAAAGTGGTCGCTGACGTAAGCGTGTGCGCGTTGAAAGGGATCCAGAAATCCCGACAGTGCGACTCCTCCAACTCTCGCACAAAGTCGACCACCTCTTCGGCCGCTTTGCGGGCCTGTAGGAAGCACAGCGAGTCAACATCGCCGATCTGGCGAGACGTCTTGTCTAGGTCGAGTTGGCGACGCCGGATCAGGAGTTTGACCGACAAATACGCCAGTCGAAGGTTAGCCGCACCTGGGCCAACGAGGTGCTTGCCGCGGAGAACCTCACGACGGAGGTTGTCCGTCAAAGAGTCCTCCCAATGCGTCAAAAGGCTCTCGAGGCCATGTGGAGTGGCGTCCCTCTTGGACGGGTCCATCTCGAGGCGGTATACCAGTTCTAAACAATCGCCGAGGACGTCGGTCAAGGTGGCCAGGGCAACGAAACGACGCGTGGCGCTGATTTGGTCGGCTGAGGCGCCTGGATTGTAGAGGTCCTCGACGGCGGGAATCGGGACGTCGTGGTGGACTCGATTTATCAGAGGCGGGGTGCCGTAGGCCAAGCTACACCTGCGATGCCCTGTGGTCATTGTCTCGGCTCCAAAAAGACAGTGGGCGCATGGGGAAGGACATAGTGATGTTTTCCTTACCAGCGATCACAGATCAGGACGATCCTCCATATTCGTATTCTAAACTTCTTCTCTGTGAGTGAGAGGTTCCATCCCGAAGGGTCCCGATTCAGCCCAAATGCATTGGCGAGGGACACAGCCATCCCCATCAAGGCGCTATTCCCAAGATTGAGAAGACTGGGCCGGGTAGAGAGGTTGATAAGGATTGACATAATGGTTGAAATGCCAGGCGTGCATTTGAACTCTTCGTTAAGAGTGTCTTCAGCCAGCCTCCAGAGGGGCCAAGGGTCTGGACGAGGAACGTTCTTGAGGCTCGGGGAGGTGTTCCAGTATATCAGGGTAATTCCATATAAAAAAGCGAGTAGAGAGGGCGAGATCTTGTCTTTTTGAGTAAGCAAGAGTCGCCGAAACAGGATCTCGTCAAAGATAGGGAAGCACTTGTTGATCTTATCAAAAAACCTGGGGAGAGCGGGTCAACACGAGGAAAGCTGCACCGCAGAGCAGGGAACAGAAGCGGGTGAGGCGAGACTCACAAATTGATAACCTCTTCTTCATAGGGCGCGATGTGTCTCTCAATCATTGCACACTTTGACGCCGCCAGCGCTCGGCCCTCCTTCTCCCTGCGGCCGCGTCTCGGGGCAGTGTTGAAGACTATCACACGGACGGGTCCACCCCCACCTGCATCGCCCGCGTTTGGATAGAATCGGACCGTCCGTCCACGTTGACCGTAGGGCGTGCTGAATAGATACATTTGAAAGACGTTGTCATCGTCGGCTATCGCAGGGCTGACAACGTGAGAGCTGCCTTCGACCGAGTCGACGATGGGATCCACCACAGCGGGGCCCAGATCGTGTGGCGGCGCGATGGAGTGGGATGAGGCCTCTCCGTGTTCTTGGTCTGCTATCCTGTCTTGGACCGTCGAGATGGGCTTGTTCACCACGCAGAATGGAGCTTCGTTCCACATGCTCAATGAAGGAAGGCACTGCGGCACGTCGGAAGATTCCAACGAGAGATTCAACATCTGAGGCGACGGGGTCGACAAGGAGGCGGAGGGGGCGGTGGGTTGAATGCCTGTGCCTTTGGAAAGGGATTTTGGCCGACTCCTGGTCCTTCGTCGACGTCGCTGCTCGGGCAGAGGAGGGAATACACAGTCAGTGCCTTTGATTCGACATGTTACGCACGCGGGTGAAGCCACCGTGGTTTTGCACCGTGACTTTCTGGTTCGACAAGAGATGCAGGCCGGTTGCATGTGAGACCGGTACGGCCGCCCTTCGATTGGAGCCGTGCTTTGATGTGGATCGGGAAGCTCGATGTCCATTGACCAAGGACTTGGAGGAAAAGTCGTCGTGTCGTGTTGCGTTCTGTCGTGGAACTCGCGCCGTGGACTATCGAGACGGCGGAATTTCTACACGACAGGGTCGTTGGACAAGTAACGGAATACACGCCCTCGCGAAGTAGATCCTAGCTTCAGCAGGCGAATAGAACGTACTGGACGAGTACAGTGCAGAGAGTCCATCCGGTTGAGATAGCGCCCCGGGAAAGTGGTGCTGTGTTGGGGCGGGAAACTGGTTCTTGTCGGGAAACTGGCGCTCCTCGGGAAAGTGGGGCTCCTTGGGAAATGGTGCTCGTCGGGAAAGATGCGCACGCCCGGTCGAGAAAGTCGAAGAGACTGCGAACGAGTGAAGGGCTAAGTCAATCTGAGAGCACCAGGGCATCATGGTATCAGAGCACAAAGTAATAATACCTCTGGTGAGGCTGGGAAACCGTCCTTTATCAACTGACACTTTTCTGCGTCCTCTGGGTATCTGTCCTCTAGCATGGTAAAGGCACCTGTCCGGCCGTCTCTGAACACGTATAAAAGGCCTCTTTCCTCGCTAACCTACTTTGTGGCATACGACCAATGTGATCTAGACCGTTTCAACTTTTCTGTAGCTCTTTCCCCTTCGCCCACTGTCGACTATCAACTTTCCCGGTGGTGGGAAGCCTCGCTTGTCTGGGGGCGTGATTTTCTCGTCCAGCAGATCCTACCACTCAGGACCAATAGCTTCAGACCAGTAACCGGACCGCTAAAACACTCGGTCTGCTGCCCTTCCTCATATCTCGAAGCACCCCTTCTCATCCCAGATCACTATGGTATTAAACGACACCGACGACGTGGGCTCCTCCACAACCACACGTATCTCCTCATCCGCCAATGACGCCCCCACAGCCTCCTCATTCGCCATCAAGGCTGGCTTGGCCCAGATGCTGAAGGGCGGCGTTATCATGGACGTTGTTAACGCCGAGCAGGCCCGCATCGCCGAAGAGGCGGGCGCCTGCGCGGTCATGGCCCTCGAGCGGGTGCCCGCTGACATTCGCAAGGACGGCGGCGTTGCCCGAATGTCGGATCCGGAATTGATCAAAGAGATCCAAGCGGCGGTCACTATCCCAGTCATGGCCAAGGCGCGCATCGGCCACTCTGTTGAGTGCCAAATCCTTGAGGCTCTAGGCATAGACTACATCGACGAGAGCGAGGTCTTGACCCCAGCAGACGACAACTTCCACGTAGAAAAAATCGACTTCAGGGTCCCCTTCGTGTGTGGGTGTCGAAATCTCGGAGAAGCCCTGCGACGCATCGCCGAGGGCGCCGCCATGATCCGCACAAAGGGCGAAGCCGGTACGGGAGATGTGGTCGAGGCGGTTAAGCACATGCGGACAGTCAAGAGAGAGATTGCTCGAGCGCAGACCGCGCTGGCCGACGGTGACGCTGCTCTCCGCGCGTATGCAAAGGAGATCGGCGCCGAAGCTGAGCTGCTTAAACAGACAGCGCAACTCGGCCGGCTGCCCGTGGTCAACTTTGCCGCTGGCGGCATCGCCACGCCCGCCGACGCCGCCCTGATGATGCAACTGGGCTGCGATGGTGTCTTTGTCGGCAGCGGCATCTTCAAGTCAGGCAACGCAGCCAAGCGAGCCAAAGCCATCGTGCAGGCGACAGCGCACTTCCGTGATGCCAACGTGTTAGCCAAGTGCAGTGAGGGTCTCGGCGAGGCTATGGTGGGCATCAACTGTAGCTCCATGGAAGAAGGGGAGAAGATGGCCGGCCGAGGCTGGTAAGAGGGCAAGCTTTCACCAATGTGATACCGCAAGCCGCGGGGTGTGCGCAGGCAGTCTTGTCACCATATAAGCTCGCAAAGGACTGGGGCGTTCCTGTACTGTAACATCTTTCGCCGTTGCATCATCTGCAACAGTAAAGTTCTTTCTGCAAACTGCAACAATGAATGCCATCACAGAACTCCTAGCAAGTACAACGCTCGGGGATGCGGCTGTCGGCAGGAGCAAGCTTTGTGCCGACGACTGTTTTCATGCTCTGCCCAAACTGCGTAAGAGGTTTGATCACCTTCTCTTTTTCTGGGCCCTGTGCAGCACTTCGTCCAGACATAATTGAGAATCTGAGCATTTGACGGCAGGCTTGGATGATGTGGAAGACGCGACCATCTGGCAGTACAAACAGTGGTTGAACTTACACGGCGAAAATGTGAGGATGTCCCAACTTCCTGACTTTTCCACAGATCGTAACAGGAGAATCGAGATCCTACCCCGTTCAAATTCATTACCGTCGATCATATACGTGCCCCAGATTTTGCCATCCACTGCGGGCGCTTTACTTGGGTCAATCCAAGTTGTTAATTTCAGCCTTGTGGGACCAAAAAGCCCTGGGATCGAGTCCGCGAGCCTCTGTTGCCGCCGGACCAGATGGGTCATTCCACTTGATATCAAACTCAAATCTATACGGCACCAAAGAATGTGGGCCATCGGAGTTCCTCTAGTATACTATAGGTCACGTAGTCCTTTATCTAACCTTCCTAACATCTCTATATAGCTATTAAAAATACTTAGAATCAAGTTAGTTAAGATTCGAGACCTTAGTGACGCCGCAGACCTCATTAGGACGGGCTTGGCCAGTACTCGATCTACTATATGAACTGTAATTTTGTGCTCAACATCTCCTGTTGCTAGAAGGTATCTGAATACTTCTCTACCTCCCTCTAGTACATATCAAGATATTGAGATGTTCAATAGGTCGCCAGGTCCTCGGGGTGTGCAGTGTCTTTAGATCGCACCGGGCTCTTCAGGACTGAATACTCAAACTTCCGATCGACATATTTCAACGCCTCCGGATTGACATTGTTTGTGTTGAGGCCCATTAGATATTCTCCTCCATCTGTCGCGGGAGGCCGCAACGGCCACCAATAGCATCTGCACGGTATGAGCTCGCAATCTCATGCAAGAGGGATTGATCTTTCCTTACACGCATCCACAATTGTCACAGAAGTTGAAAGATAGGTCTCGGTCTCCCCAGATGTACTGCTTGGTGATTGCCCCTGGCTTCGTTTCGATCTTGACCTCGTCTGGGTGGTAGTAGCCCCATGCGGCACCATAACGCCTACATATGGTACATTGGCAGACGTTAATATATTCGGGCAATCGTGGAACTATGATTGCAATAGCACCACAGTGACAGGTGGAGCGGATTGGAGGGTTTGCGGCTGCCATATTTGACCTATTCGTAAAGAGCTTGATTGTGAGCTGGGGAGAGCTTGTAATTTGGGCTTGCCAAAGCCTGTCTGCTGGATCACCAGAAACGACTTATGTATATGTATTCTGATGACCCAGGATAGTAGCCCAGGCACAGCCCAGGCACCAGGCACCAGGCAGCCATTTCCGGACCGGAATAACGTTGGACCCTGGATCGGCGTTTCTTGCCCACTTTGACCAGCGAGGCAAGAAGAGTACACCTTCTCAGGCTCGCACAGGGATCATATCATAATACAAGCTTCGGTGCCAAATGCCAGCTTCGGTATTGTTTCGGGGGGGACATCTTGAAACATGTCTTCCGAAACGGCCCCAATCACTCGATGCGACATCGGAAAGCATGCTATACTGTTTCATACGTCGTAGCCCTTGTCAGTCGAGGTCCTCTTCATGGATACTTTGCATTCCTAAAGCATACGGTGAGGTTCTGAATCACGGTGACCCAGGTGATGTGCTATATGGTTTATTGTCGGCCAGAATAGGTGGCGTAGCCGATGATGGTTGTGTTTGGGTCGAAACATGACTTGCTGTCCTGGATATGCCCATCAGACTGACATTGCCACTGGCACTACCAGACCCAGGCTCAGATCGTTGTCGATAGAGCCTGTCGAATTCGTCCAGGACTTGACTTTTGCTTATGTCTAATCCAATCGCACGGATAGAGTACTTATCCTGCACTCGCTGGGCGGAAGCCACAGAGTGTTTGGTCTTTGAATGGACGGCAGCATACATGGACTTGTAGATCCCTTGGCCAGTGTAGCCGACGAGGCCCATGCACGCTTCAATCAACAAATCAGCAGGCTTTACTCGTCGACAAGGGGCAACCAAACGTACCTGCTGTGGGTTTCGTCGCTGTTTGTAACGCCCCTTTACCGATTCCTTTGCCAAAGCCAATTATTCCTTCCTTGGCCATACCCTTTGCTGGTTGGACTACCAGATCTGTCAGCCCCTCAGCCATCTGGTGGACGAAGGTCGTTGCAGCCACGGTGATGCCGCTTTTCCAGTCGGTCACGGCGGCGTGATCAGGCACCTTCTCCCCGTAGAGTTTTGGTGTGTTCCGCATGCCTTCGGCAATGGCGACGGGTATGTCGATCAAGGATCCCTTCACCACTATTCCTGTGAGCTGCGAGATACTCATCGCAGAGGCGCCCACCATCCTTGCAATTTGTTTGCTTGAGCCTTCCATTGCGTCCATCTCCATTCCAGACTCGGTTTGATGAGCTGAAGACGCACGTCCAAGTGCACGATCTTTATCATTCTGCTTATGGACTTCTCGTGGATTTCTCCAAAATCCACTGATAGCACCCAGAATATCATATGACAATTCCATCGAGACGGCAACTGAGGAGGTGAGAAAGTTCCATCGTCTGTTCTCGATAGTAATGGGTTTCGGTTTGTACAGTCGAAGATGGTCAGCTTTGATCCTCTGAGCCAGGATCAAAATTTCAGCCGCAGGCCCGGAAACTTTTAGCAGAGTTTTCGATCTCTTGTACACCCAAGTAGCGGGGAGTCCCTTGATCAAATCACAGTTCATGTCATCAACTGGCAGATGACGATGAAATGAACGGACAGCTGCTTTGACTCCCTCCTCGGCGGCCATCCTGTCAGCCACCTCCTTTGCAGCTTGTTGGGTCTCTTGACGCAAACAGTAGCGTATGGAATCGCTTAGATTCTTGCTATTTAGTTTCTTGTGAGCAATCGGCGGGGGTCCAGCCTGGGAAGCGGCAACCACGTTACCCCAAAATAGCTGGCTATATTCGATCAGCAACGACAAAGTAGTATCCGTGTGAGAGCATACTCTCCGAAGAATGGCACAATGACAGTTGGGCAGCCATTCATCAGCCCAGTAGCAGTGGTCCCTGCACCGCCGTGATGAACCACCACTGAAACTTGTTGAAACAACCACTCTAAGCATTTAGCTAGTGACACCAGGCAAAATTGCACCGAATTGTCACTTACCATGAGGACAGTCCCCGAGGAAGTAGATGTTTTCGCCGACGTTTTCGCTTTCCAGGTTGCTCCACCCCTTCGAGATGATGGCACGGACGCCACATGCCTTGATGGCAGCAAGTACTATGTGGAGGAGTCTTCCAGGGTTCTCAACCACGATACTACCAAAGCCAACATAAATCGGAGTCGGTCCAGACCTCAGAAATTGTTCGAGGCCATCAGGTATAGTGAAAGATACCGGGTCTCGACGGAGGAAACCGCAGATGTCTGCATTGTCCGTCAAGGGAAGAGCTTACTGAGAATGTCAAGTACTGACCGATATGCTTGCCCCAGTCGGTGGGTTTCGAGACCAACGCGGGAGACCAGCAGTAGGTGTGAGGAACTTGAAGGGTTTCCATAAGGAAAGGAGCCTCTGACATGGGAACGGATTCCAGGCCAATGGATTTCCGCCATTTTTGTACAATATCACCGATTCTCAAAGGGAAGTCAGCAGAGAATTACAAGGGGAGCAGACGTGTCATACCCATTCCAGGTCAACAACTGGACCATGCCGTATGAGATGTAATTTGCCAACCTTGGATCGGTACTACTATTTTTAATGTTCGCTAGAGGATGAGGAAAGGCTCGAGTTGGACTCCATGGCATGGTGAACATAATATGGAGCGGCACTCCGAGTGCTTGAGCACAATGAACGTGAGCAAAGGATGGAGGGTTCGCGATAATGGCATTGGCAACGAACGGTTCTCCGCCATCTGAAGGTAGAATGCACGAAGCCCAGCAACCGTCAAGGATCTCGCGGATCATCTGCCTGTTCTTTTTGACGTCTCCTTCTCGCAGAGCCTTCATGCGAGGTAGCAATCCGGGATTCTTGACCATGTACTAGACAGCCAATTAGCTTATAACCCAGGAATCAGGAAAGCATCTGTACCGCCATCAGCTCAGCTGGATCGCCTCCAATGGAGTAGAATTCCAATCCTGCGGTTTCCACAAAGTTTCTAAAAGCTGAATGGGTTGCCAGGCGCACTCGATGGCCATGACGCTGAAGTTCTTGTCCAAGCGCAACAAACGGCTGTACATCCCCACGGCTACCGACAATCTGGATCACGATATTTAAAGGTAGTTTCCACGAGTCTATGTCCAAGATGGACGAGTACGCCGGCGGAGGCTCGGCAACTTCTTCGTCATCCTCGGAAGCTTCCACAAGTTGTGCGAAAACTTGTGCAAGTTTTGAGTTGAGGTTGAGAGAGATGCGTCCATCATCGAGGACGTCCGTGGCATCTTCTGCAAAGGCGTCAGGGAGCGGAGAGTCGGGTTCATCGGGGTAAGCATTTTCGTTTGCGTTCACGTCGGTCGTCGAAAGTTGCAAAGACGGAGGGGCGGCAGTGGGTAGGCGAGAGAGATTTTCTTTTTGGCCCATGGCAGGGAAAGAATTCTCAGGAGCTAGTCAGGCCGCAGCGCAGCCTTAAGGTCATTCTTGACAAAACTCTTCAAGCGTGGAGTGATCTGCTAAGGATTTCCGCCGTATATATTTCTCCTGACTTTCAGGCAACAACAATTCATGCAGACTGTGGAGAGTTTTCCCTTGACCCGTGAATGGCTGCAGGCACCAATACGCAATACGGCAGTGCGGCTTCACACACGATTGTGTGGCTTCAACCATGTTTGTGTAGAAAACCGGACGCCATTGATAACTTTCCGGGGTCCCAAAACCCACTTCAGGAACTCCGAGGTGTGATTGCGCGTCTCTAAAGATGGGCCTGAACACAGCCCAGTTGATAGCTGGACAAATTGAGAAATCTCACCCGGTCTAGGAAGCTCGGAAAATCTCCGTCAGGCTTCATTCAGCTCGTCTGCCCTCGATGCTGGGTTGGGGGTTAATCCCTGAGCTTGTCTTGTGAGGCTTCTTGCCAAGAACTTCTTTACCACTTTTGGATGCGAATCACCTAAGCCGGAATAGGATGGCCTAGTGGCCTCTTCTTGAAATGACATCTTCTCCGTGGCTTACACAAAAATTATTTACGTGACAAGTTGCGCACCATGGCAAAAGGGAATAGCACACCGGAACGCCTCAGTATACATTTAAACTCTGCGAGTGAAGATTCCAGCACCGAAAATGAGTTTCTGAATCCTCCTTCGAAGCGCAGACGGATTTCACAAGAGAGTGATCAACTCGCTGGCACTGTCCTCCAACCCACCTCGATATCCAGAGTAAAAAGGACTCTGCCTCCAGAGACAAATGAATCACCATCGACCACGCAGCCACCCATCGCCCCCATCCCTACAACATCCGTTACCTTCCAGTCACTTGCCGTGGCGCCATGGCTGATACATTCACTCGGCGCAATGGCCATAACACATCCCACCGAGATCCAACGGGCCTGCATACCGGAAATTCTAAAAGGAAGAGACTGCATTGGGGGCTCGAGGACGGGCACGGGAAAAACTGTGGCCTTTGCGGTTCCTATATTGCAAAAATGGGCAGAAGACCCCTTTGGTATCTATGCTGTCATTCTCACACCAACGCGTGAGTTAGCTCTGCAAATATACGAGCAATTCCAAGCACTAGGAGCGCCGCAAAATCTCAAAACAGTGCTGATAACAGGAGGATGCGATATGAGGCCTCAGGCAGTCGCTCTGGCTAAGAGACCGCACATTGTCGTGGCAACCCCAGGCAGACTAGCAGACCACATTCTCAGCTCTGGCAAAGAGACCACCATCGGACTGTCTCGGGCGAGAGTCATGGTCCTGGATGAAGCCGACCGCTTGCTGTCCTCGGGACCCGGGTCCATGCTACCAGACCTCAACACATGCCTCTCTGCCCTTCCTCCACCTACATCGCGCTTGACCCTTCTTTTTACGGCGACCATAACGCCAGAGGTTCGAGCACTGAAGGAACTTCCACGACCACTAGACCGTCCACCTATCTTCATATCTGAAATTGGGGGTCCTTCAGATGCGTCTTTTTCTCCCAGCCTCCTTCCTGCGACACTCACACAAACGTACCTTCAGACTCCTATGACACACAGGGACGCCTTTCTTCATGTGCTTTTGTGCGTTCCCTCATTCACAAAGGCTCCCGAGCCTAAGATCATTGTCTTTGTGAACCGCACCAGCACTGCCGACATTCTTCACCGCACCCTCCTCCAACTCTCTCATCCTGTGACGGCGCTACATTCCGAACTACCTCAAAGCCAGCGAACGAAGAATCTCTCTGACTTTCGCTCGCAGAAGTCGCGGATTCTCATCAGCACAGATGTGGCATCAAGAGGCCTTGATATCCCCGAGGTCAACTTCGTGATCAATTATGATGTTCCTCGGAACCCAGTGGATTATGTCCACCGAGTTGGACGTACAGCTAGAGCGGGGAGGGAAGGCACGAGTATCACATTCGTTGGCCAGAGAGATGTCGCTCTCGTCCTGGCCATTGAGGAGTATATAGGAAGCAAGATGATAGAATGGGCTGAAGAGGGCGTGAATATCGAGACACGTGTCGTGAAGGGTCGTACATTGAAGGATGTGGCCGAGGCCCGAATGGAAGCTCTTCGGAATATTGATAGTGGCAAGGACGTTAAAGGCTGGCGAGGGAAGATCAAGAAGGATAAGAAGCGTGCCTTTGTGGAATAGACAATCTCAACGCCATCCTCCTGATGACTCTACCAATGGCCACCTAATCATGACTTTGGTGAGACCAATGTAATGCACCATTATGTCTTCCAGGCCTCGTTTCCTCTTTGCGATCTCTTTCAATTGGCCGTCGGCCTACCGGTTTTCAGTGGTCGTACAATCATGTAGTGGTCCAGTTCACATTCACAATCCCTTGACGAAATGCTGACACTTCCACTAAGGACTCTGGTTCATGGTCAAGCACTATCACCAAGCGTGGCGACTTCGGTAACAATCTACCTCATCCAGTCGATATCAAGCTCTGCCTTATACTCACCCTCATCATCGATGCTACTGAGAACAGTGTCTTCTCCTGTCCAGGTAGTTGGTGTGCCGTGACGCATACTTGACAAGCTTCCCGGTTTCTCACTTCCGTTCACACTATCTCCCCTCAATCTCCTAGCAAAGCCATCGGATTGGTGTTCTTTCCACCATTTGCCACTCTCTTCAACAACCTTCTCTTCCCATTGTGTAACGGGCCCGATGACCTCGACGTCTTTCTGGCCGGCCTTGAGCACATCCCGACAGGGCAGAGACATGGTCATATTTTCCTGGTTGTCGCCGCCCGTCAAGTCTTTCAGCTTTTCTTCGCGAGCAGCGTAGACTAGACGTCCAATATTACTCCAGTACAGTGTCCCCGTACACATAGCGCATGGCTCCCAAGTCGACACAAGGGTGCACGCGGCGAGGTATTTCTGCGAGAAGTGGATGGTAGCAAGTCGAGCGAGCTCGGTCTCTGCATGTTGGACATGAGAAATGGAAAAGTGTGTAAGCAAGACGGTGGTGTTGTCAGGTCCCAAAAGCAAGGCTGCAAAAGGCCGCTTCTCGTGCAGACTCGTCGCAGTATTTTGTAAGTCCAAACATGCTTTCAGTGCAGCGTCGATTTGTTCTTTGGTCAAGTCCGCGCGGACTGGCTCAGAAGCAGGAATGTTCGAGTCGGATGCGGGTGGTATTTTAGGGGCAGAGGTGTTTGCCGGAGAGTTCGTTGATGATGCAGGCGTGAGCGAGGAGTTGGTGGTTAATATTGGGTTGGCACTGCTCTTTAGAGTGCTATGGATGGATGAGCCAGACGGCGCAGCCCCCGGAGGAGGTTTTCGATGAATAGAGCTTGGGGGTGGAGTTTTGTTGCTGGCATGAGCTGCAGTAGATTTGAGATATGCCTGGTAACTCATTCCGGGAGCATGAAGTTAGAGCCAGCCTATCAGAATGAGGCAACTGAAGCACTGTTTGGTCCCAAGGAGTACAAAAAGTCAATGCGACTATTTTCGTCTGCATGCGAAGCCTCCAGATGTTTGCAGCAAGTCAGATTCAATCGGCGCTATTGGAGAAAATATTCAAAGTGCTGTAGACGTTATTGGAAGCAGCGGAACGGATTTTTATCATTTCAGCAAGTACACAGTCGAGTGCCTGTTGATCGATCATGGGCTCCAGGTACCCACGCCCCCCCCCCCCCCGGCTTTGCGCCACCGCTTTATCTTCAGCCGAGAAACACTGGGCCGCCAATACAACTAGGACCTGGAAAACTCGGTAGAGCTGCCCATTGATTTGCTGGTTTGTTGATTTGAAGCGAAAGACTTGGTCGAAGCCGCCTGTTCCTGGCGCTAGTGTTCCTGTACCTCGTACTGTGTGGGCTGTTCCCTCGTGCTTAGTTTCGAGATCATCTCGTAGACTTCCAGACTCCAGATCCACGACCTTGTGTTGGTCGTCGCCCACGTAGTTGGTGATGGTGCTGCGCCTGCAATAGTGTTTCCTTCATATTCAGAAGACTATTATATCAACCTTGTTCTGTTCAGCACCATATCTCTGGCGAATATTGTCGTCATTGAGAAAGGCGACCATCGGTCGAAAAATCTGACCTATCGTGAAGATATTACTTCTCTTCTCGTCGTGATGGGAGCCATCCACCACAATTCTTTGTAGCCCATGAGTCTTCAAAGCCCCTGCTTCCAACAATTGATTTAAGCGCTCCGGTGTGCCTATGGCAATTCCCACTTTGTTACTTTGCAGAAACTTTATATTCATTTCGAGTTTCATGTGTTTAGGCATGAATTTACCGACTTTGGAACCCTGGCTCTTAAACACTCGCAATTCTCGCATAAGATCTGCTATTCGCATGCCAGACATTGCAAGGACAATAGTATGTGGCGAGCAGACTTCCTCGCAGATGGAAAGTCCCTCTTTACCGCCAGCGGAAAATTGCTCGAGGAAGTCTGGGAGGTTCGCAGCAAGCCTTTCCTTAGTATAACTTGTGGTGTCGAGAAAAGCCTTTTTCGGAAGGTACATATCTTCCAGTTCGATGGGACTGCTGGTTGAGAACCACTTTTGAATGTTCTTCGCAAAGTGATCAGCGAGGAGGGAGGGATCGACGGCGACGCCTGGGGGTGTAGATTGTTTCGACTCGGTGTCAAGGGCGGTTCGTTTCGGTAGAGGGTATGTTTTGAGATCATCGGACTGGTCGAGCTTTCGCTTCTTCCCTCCCATCGTTGTAGCCACCTTTTTCTGTGCAAGGTCGCCAGCGACCAGCTCACTCTTTTCACGCCGGATAATATCCTGCGGGTCCTTCCCACCACCCCTTCGAGCCTTTTGCTTTGTGCGCGACATTATAAATTATTGGATGTCTAAGGAGATGCATGCATGTGTTCTCTTGCGGTGAAGTCTAGCGCAGGAATAACATCATATCCTGAAGCGCAAAGAAGAAATTAATTATTTGTTCTGGAATCAGAATCGATCCCCGCATTCGAGAGCCTTGGCGGC